GTTCCCTCTTCTCTTCCTCACTGTTGCGTCGTTTGGGCTGTTTTGCTGTGTACGCAGTTACAGCAAGAGGAGTTATAGCCAATTCTGCTAACATGCTGCTGTGTTTAGCGAGGAGAACGAGCATCTCGCTAAGTCTCTCCTCAGCACTTTTATACGTCCTAAATTCATACACAAGCTGAATCAATGAGCTCAAGTTTTCAATACAAATTTTATGAACTCATTAGAAAAAAAATTGGGTATAGATTCTTTAAGAAAGTAGGGACGTTAATTTCAAGAAGTGGGAAGGAGAACCTCTCCGCCATTTCTTTTTTGTAAAAGTAGCTCTGCGATCAAAAAGGTTGGCACCCCCAGATCTGACTATAGCAATTATATATAGCAAACGTTTGTTTGTTTGTTTATTTGGTCATACAAATTATCATTATTTAGACATAAAAGACAATCAAAAGAGGACAAGGTTACAAAAACAATGAATCTTATGTCAGTAATGTACATGCTTTCACATAGATTTACAAACGCAGTTGTGACCGAAGGGATTAGGCTGAAGTATAACTTATTTTTGCCTAATCCAATTCATTAAGTAAAGTCTCCAAAGTATGGGGAAAAAACCCTTTTAAAATAGAAGCCAAACTAAAAGTCAAGATCAGGAGAACATTTTAATAATAAAAAGAAACAATAGGATGGAAAAATATAAATAATTTGAGAAAACACATTTTAATATTTTAACAACAAAAGCAGACAGCAAAAGGCTCTCATAGAGATGTAGGAGAGCTGCTAGACCTATCATTCTTGGGCTTGGTAATTACTTAAAATATTATGTTTAATATTATTTTTAAACGTCTTCAATGAGCAGGAGTTTTTGATTGCGTCGTCTAAGTTGTTCCATAGTCTCACTCCTCTGACCGAGACACATCTGCTTTTTTTGTTAGTTCTTGCCTTATTTATTTTGAAAATCCCTGTTCCTCTGAGATTGTAACTACAATCTCTATGTTCAAACAATATACTATAGCAATTATATATAGCAAACAATTTTCCGCACCAGCAGTTTTACCCTGGAGGATTTTTATCTTCTCAAAATAAAATATTTGCTTTTGTGTATTGCACTTGTAGACACACACGTTCATATTTCAGCCGATCATTATACAGTAGCATTAGCATCTTTACACTGAGGTTAATGGGGTTAGCTTGTAGACAGTATAGGACCATGCAGACTTGAAGATAGGGTCACCCTGAGCACCAAGCAGTGACCTCTCCTCGCCACCAGTCCTTCTGAATTCCCACACCACCACATGAATATTCAGCCTTCATTTGTGCTCCGTGTCTGTGCATAGGAAAATCTTTATCAGGCCAGGAGCTTTTCTATCTGATATCAGTAAGGGCTAATATCACGCTTCTTCATTCAACCGGAAAATATGCGTTATGACAATAAGGAGCAATCTAGATTTGAGTTTCTGAAGCTTAAGATTGTATTGGCCAAGTACACACAGCAGTATGTTTCATTAACCAGTAAATAGACGGATTTAGGGCCGGGATTAATCACAACTAATTTATTTTTTTCAAATAGTCGACAATTGTTAGTACTCCCACTTAAAAATATGAGGAAGGCCTGTATATTTAATCATAGGCATATACCCCAACTATGAAAGACAGAATGAGAACAAAATCCAGAAAATAATTTATTTTCAAATGTTGGTGAAAAATAAGTATTTGGTCAATAACAAACGTTCATATCAATACTTTGTTATATACCCTTTGTTGGCAATGACAGCTCAAATGTTTTCTGTAGGTTTCTGTAGGTTTTCATAGACAGTTTCTGGTGTTTTGGCTCATTCCTCCATGCAGATCTCCTCAAGGCAACATGGACTTTCAACTCCCTTGAGATCTGGAGACTCCGGGACCTTGAAATTCTTCTTAAAAAGCCACTCCTTCGGGCGGTGTGTGGATCATTGTCATGCAGAAAGACCTAACCACGTTTTCCTCTTCATTGCCCTTAATGATGGGAAGAGGTTTTCATTAAACATTTTACGATACATGGTCCCATTCGTCCAGAAAAACAGCTCCAAAGCATGATGTTTCCACCCCCATGCTTCACATAGGTATGGTGTTGTTTGGATGCAACTCAGCATTATTTAACCTCCAAACACAACAAGTTGATTTTTTACCGCTAAGTTCTATTTTGGTTTCATCTGACCATATGACATTCTCCCAATCCTCTTCTGAATCATCCATATGCTCCCAAGAAAACTTCAGACGGCCCTCGACATGTACTGGCTTAAGCAGGGGCTCTGTCTGGCACTGCAGGATTAGGGTCCCTGGCATCACTGATGGGCCCTCTTTGTGGTTCTGGTATTTTAGTTCATCGTTCTTGTGATTGTTTTGACCCCACGGGGTGAGATCCGGCCTGGAGCCCCAGATCGAGGGAGATTATCGGTCTTATACTGAATGTCTTCCATTTTCGATTAATGGCTCCCACACTTCCCAGCCTGGTACAGGTCTACAATTTTGTTTTTGGTGTGCTTTGACAGCTCTTTGGTCTTGGCCATAGTGGCATTTGGAGTGTGACTTTTTGAGGTTGTGGACAGGTGTCTATCGTACTGATAACAAATTAAAACAGGTAATTAATATGATAAATTGATTTTTATTCCTTTCTCTCATAGTTGAAAATTACAGACTTTCCTCTCCTCTTTTTAATCCTTACACCCAATGACATTTGCATCCAATACAGAGGAAAAGGAGAGAAGTGGAGTGAATGTGGTTGATAAAGTTGAATGGTTTTGCTGGGTTTTATTAGGCCTGTTAAAGTTAATGCTATAACTATATTTAATCAAATACTTACAAGTGCTTAACGTGTAATAGGTGTCTGCTTATCCCAACCCTAAAACTCTGGGATTTTAACTTTACTCTTTTTTAATGAACAGTGATTAGTTTTGCCGTATGTGACTGTTTCTATCTTCTTTGTAAGTACCTTGAGGTGCCTTGTGTATGAACTGTGTTACAAATGAAAAAATTAACTTGCCTTTCCAAAATATGCATTGCTGTTTATTTCACAACTTGTCATGTTATACTTGCAGTCATGTGATGTAGTAAAATATGGAGTATAAATAAAGTGCTTTGTGACTCTGGTCTGTGAAAGGCATGATGTAAATGAAATTGACTTAAAACTGAAACTATCCAAGAATATCATGCTGTCATTTTAATATTTCACATAAATTGATTGATTTATTGAACTTAATTGCAAGAGTCGGATTAAAGAAGAAGAATGACGCATTATTATGGGCCATGTTATTATCATCTTCATTACAAAAATATATGGTTAAACAAATATCATGGATAAACAATTCAAGTCTGCTGTAACTCAATCTGCTACTACCAGAAGGAACTGTAGAATTTGTCTTTCAAAATTTTGAAAATGACCAGCTGCAAACCTTTATTTCACGTGACAAATGACCCAAAATAAGTCTTGGGCACGATACTTTTGTTTTAAAAGGCAGAATACAGCTCTGAGCCTGATGTTATAGGTTGTGTTTCCATTACACATTAGTATCTAAGAATAACATATCTTTATTCATCCCACAGCGAGGACATTTCTGGTTCCGTATCCTTGCAACCTACCCACAACAAACCTGTATCCGGGGAAATTCTGTTGTAACCATGCCTTCCAGCTGCATTTTGACCAATCTCTGTCAATCTCTAACACTTTAATAGTAGCAGGGCCAAGCAGGTAATAAAAACATAACTAGTGCTGGTTAAACAGGGCTGATGGAAAAAGATCCAAAGGGGCTGCAGTGGTACAATAGCATCATACTATTACAGGACTGAAGAAACTTTTAGACAGAAGGGTTGCAGAGTTATGTTTGTGCCTGTGGTTCCTTATATTAGCGTGGATTGAGCAAAAAAACAACTTCAGGTTTGTTTTATTTAAAAGCTCAAAAGGTTTTTACATATGTCTCCTGTAATGCCAGATGTCAATAGTACAGTAGATAGAGAAACCAGTATAATCACAATTATTTACGTCCACACTGTTAAAACATCTTTGAAATATGTGCTTTTTCTCTTGGACATGATAACAGTGCAGGACCACATTCCTTCTTGTTTTTTCCTCACCTGCTTTGGCCTTGAGCAGTCGACTTATTTTGGAAATGATTTTGCGAAAAAGGAAAGCGTCTCTTGTCTGGCTCCGTGCTCTCTCCGTGTGGGGTGTGTCCTTTGGGGGCTGCGGTTCTTGGCAGGAGGTTCTGAGGTGGGCCTGCTTACCTTCGCCGTGTCCCTGAATAGCTCCGTAACCAAACCAGGGCTCACTCACCTGGAAGTGTGTGTGGGTAGAAAAAGAGGTATATTTGTCTGTTTGTCCTGGAGGTAAACGTCTCGTCTCTCACACACACAGCTTCTCTTTTTCCAAAGTGCTGTGTACGAGGCTCATTTATACAAGGTCTATGTCAAGTTATGACTGTTGATGTTTGTGAGACTGGCTGAAAAAACAAAATGTATATTAGTTAGATTACTTAATTTCAGTTTGGAGCGTGGATGCATATTAAAATGTTCCTTCTGTCTCAGTAAATGTAGAGAAAAAAGTTAGAATTAATAAGAGAGACATAAACAAATGAGATAATAATTATATTGTTCCCCATTCAGAGCCATATTATTTTCAGCAGATCATAACAATAATTGTAAGCGTGCCATGAGATAGTTGGCACGCCGCACGCACAGAACATAGAAATATGAGACGACTCATGCCCTTTGCATTCTGTTGAAATATTTCTTTCTGCCAATTTGACTTTGACCAAAGTTGGCAGAATTGTTTCGTCAGTGGCACCAGACCAGAGCCAGCAGAGCTGCTTGTATGCGCCACAGATGATGCGGCGTCTCCATGGCTCTTTGAGGAAGTGTGACATCATATCAGTCGAGCTGGTCACATGACCTGCCGTGGCTTGACAGGTCATGTGATCTGTGGATGGTCCGTGTTTGCGTGCCCCCCATGGTGCCGCAGTTTCCCTCTCTCTGACTCACTGGCTGCAGGTTTCCAAACAAACTGGTGAAACATGTTGTGAGTGCGTGGGTCCGCCCAGCCCCCCACTGCGCTCCAAAGCTGCCTCACAGAGTAAGCAGGTGGCGCTGGTGTCCCGGAGAGCACGGCCGGCTGTGGGCGGCACAGCCAGAGCCAACGCAAGCTCCCTGCCGACCTGAGGACCAGGCCTTCCACTCTGCCAGCCCGGGAGGCTCCTGTTTCCCTCTGCCGCCTCCTGCCTCACCCCCTCGCTGACCTCTTGATGACGCAGAGTCAGCTGCAGACTGGAGTCTTCTGGCCGGAGCTGGCGGAGTTGCAGGCCCACAGCCAGTCGCCTTCAGCTGCACCTTAATGAACACAGCAGTGGGCTGAGAGCTGATTCTACTGTTTGTGTGGGACAACAGGTGCACATGTGTGAGCTGCCAGCACAGCTGAAACTCTGCCTTTCCATTTGAAACAGTCAGACGCATGGCCTCATTCATTCTGGCTTCAAATTCAGTCCTTTGGTGGATTTGGACAAAAGTCGATCTGAAAGTGTCTAAGCGAAAGCCGAATGTCACCTGCCTGTTTCCTGACTCTCTGCTTTTGACAGGTCTTATTTCCTTTTCAAAACCAAACAATAATAAATGCACACACACACACACACACACACACGTCCGGTTGATACAGGAAAAGTTCAATCAAAGGTTGTGTTCATGTTCTAGATGTCCATTTCAGTTGGAAGGCAGGTGCCAATACAATGCTATTGTATCAAAAAAAATAAATCCAAAAAAAATAAATAAAATGATTGTGTTCCCTGATCATTATTAAATAATACTGAATGTTGGAAAGTCTTTTCTCCTGGCCAACCTGATGCATATTGTTGCCACCACTTCTAGAAAAATAATGATCCCATTGTTTATATGTAGTGACAAAGAAGATGAAGGCATTTGGAAGTTATTTTTTAATATAAATCGGCCCAGGAATAATCAAAAAACAATCTTTAAACTAAGACTTGAAATCTGATAGCTGACGGTAACCATCGATACTACAGATTTTTTAGCTGTCCTCCAACATTGTCCTTACCCATGGTCGGAGAGTGAAGGTGAGCTGGCCACCTTTTTTAGTAGCCGCAAGAGAATCTTCTTTTCCACCATATTAAGTCCGAGCCGAGTCATTCGGAAGAAGGTTCAAGGGAAAGCAGGGCACTAGGAGATACCAGGGGACCAGGAGAGAGCAGGGGACCACGCTGCCTCCTCCCGGCTACTTTTGTCAAACCATAAAACAAAACACAGGAATTAGAACACTCCGGGTGGCTCGTACGAAGGCGTTTTAAGCACTGGACTGCGAGCTTTGGCAGAGCTGACCAGGCGAGAGGAGGCCGCCCACATCTGTCCACTCGTCACCCAGTCCTGGTGCTGATGGTGGTAAAAGGGGGGTGGGGTTGAACAGGTGGCGGAGAGAGGGACCCCCCCTGCACCACCACCACGTTCACACATCTCACTGTCTGTCGCTTTGTCCCCATCTCCGGCTTTGTTTCCAGCTCTCCTCTCGATGTAACCGTTTATTTGTCTTCCCGCCACACACATGCAGCACTAAAGCCTCCATGGAGCACTCAATAATCTTTTACACTATCAAATCTGTTTGTTTTGGAGTAAAAAAAAGTAAAACAAATGTATAAATGCAAGCACTGTTACGTATATTATTATCTCTTGAGTCGAAGCCATTTTTTGTATCAAGTAATAGGTTAAAAAACACAGAGAGCCTGTCAGCAGGAATCGCACCCACAGCCTGTCATATGGGTGCACTGTGAGGGAGGCTTGGCACGGGCGCCTGCCATCACTCCACACAGAGAAGTGTCCATCAACAGAGATTATTTTCAATTTAGTTGTGAAATGTTGAGGCGGTTCACTGGAAACTTGTAAACTTCCAATTATTATTAATACTGATAATAATATTTTCTTTAATGGCGACGCACTGTGAAAGTTGCACTCTGTGTTGTGTCCGTGTGAATAAGTTTGTGTGTGTGTGTGTGTCATATTAGATAGATGCTGTAGATAATCCTTTATATTGCTGTCTGTTATGTGGGTGTGTACTGGAGGGTATAGCTTCTGTTTTTGTATTGTATTGTAGTGCGTGTCTGCCCTCTTCAAAACATGTGGTGTATTTTGTTTTATTCTATTTTTTCCTTTGTTTTGAGTAATCCCTGTACAACTGAGAGCAAACTATTTTTTATGTGATAACTTTCAACCATTGTAAATTTGTTTTCCCAGACTGGCCAATCCTAGCCTGGTCGTACCACACCATAGTACAAATTACATTTCGTACTAAGGTCTGGAGGTGCTCCATTGACCTCCGTTAACAGGTGGGAGGGGTTAACTCCTTTTGCAGATTGAAACGATTGGATCTGATCTTACCGTGACTTGTGTGATGCGCCCGAGTGTGTTGTTAGCATTTAGCATTTAATGTAGCCGTCTCCTTTGCCACTAACGGAGCTTGTGGGGAGTAGCGCCACAATCTTTGCAGAAATTGCCTTTGCTAAACATTCCTCTTGCTCCGGCTTCAATTTCTTGATAGAACCAGACCGGAAAACTTTACCATCGCATTCTTCGCCATTGCCAAACCACAACCGGCCCGTTCGGCGCAAACTCTTGACGTCACCCACAACTAACTACAACACCCGCCACCCACGCTCGCAGATTGACCGGTCGAAATTCAACCGATTGTAATCGCTAACACAGGGACCAGACCCAGACGTTATATGCAAATGTTGATTGAGCGGAGTGTACGGATGGCTAAGGCCAGGCTACGCCAATCCCCTTTCACACTGTAGTCTCTGGAGTAGTGAGTCCCATGTGTGAGGCAAGGTAAAGGCCCCCTTGTCTCTGTTGATGGTCTGTACCCAGAATATGATTTGGTTTGCATTAACTCTTCTCCAGATAACAGAAAGCTTTGAGACACCGTGTTCCAAATGTTCTGCGTATTGGATGTAACAATAACCTTACAGTCCTTACAAAACATAATGCACATTTTACATAAAAAAAAATGTTGGATGCACACCATGTCTCGTGCAAATGTTCAGAAACTACTATCATTTTATGGATAGCAGCTGAGGATTTGTTGTTGCTCCTCAAAACAATATCACGGGGAGAGAGAGAAAAAAATCTTGTTATAGAAAACAAAGTAGGAAAGCAAAGTACAGCAGCAGAATGCAGGCCCGGGGATCCATTTGAGTTTATTGCTTCCCAAAGGCTCAGGCCAATATAAGCGCGCTGGTTATGAGCCCATGTCTCCCCCACAGTGACAGAGCCGTCAGATAGTGATTAGACGGCAATAAACTCCAGACAATAACAGGTGAAGACGCTCAGCCCGGCACGGAGTCCAGGCAGGAGGGGGCGCCGGAGAAGGGAAGGTTTACTGGAACAAATAAAGGAGAAATCAGACAGATTGTTTTGTTTAAGCTTTACATCCGAAATCAGGAGTGTCTGACTTCTTTTGGACAGGGCTGCTCGTGGGCCGGAAGTATAAAAGGGGTTTTCTTTCATTGTAACTAATTTTTACATTGAACACAAAGATGGATATTTTTCAGTACATTTTAGTTTAGTTACTGTTTGGATTGAACCAAAACTGGACCACACATAATGAAGAGGTGTACTTGTTTCTGTTTATGTATTTAACTTCTAATTACATACACATTGATAATGAAAACATGCCATAGTAGCCAAATACCATGAATGCAGCAAGTTAATGACAAAAATGGAAAAATATGGCCGCAAGCGGCAATGAACGGCCCTTGAACTCACCAAACCGTGCCACGCAACAGGAGAAGATGGGATGCGTTTGAGATTTTAGATGACATTAGCAAGTTTTCATTTCAAAATGGTTGAAAAAATGCTCATGATGCATTATTTTTAGCAGTTTAAAATGGGCTGAGGACCAGACAAGATTGCTCTGAAGGCCAGAATTGGTTTCTGTGGTGAAGAATTTAGAATACTAGCAATTTTAGAGACCACCTATCTATAACTATAATTGGTTAGACCTCTAAGATTTGTATGTTACAATGTGAAATGGGAGAAGAAAATATTAGACTTTGATTTGTTTGAATTTGGTGACTGATCAGTTTTCAACAAATAGTAATTCAAATTTTGTGAACCTCTTGTATCACAATATTTCCGGTCAGACTTTACAACAAACTCTGTACAGCTTTAAAGTTACATCTAGAGTTGAGATCATATATTGCAGTCCTTCGGTACTACGGTAGCTTGGAAGGAAAACAGGTCGTCTTTGACAGTGGTCCCCAACTCCTGGTCCTTCAAACTGGGGCCAAGGAAAGAATCCTTTAGTTTAATAAATGACCGGATCTCTTAGTAACTGTACAATGTAGAGCTAAAATGTAAACAGTCCACGTTCTGAAGCAGCACTTGTGTTTTGTACAGAGGTTCTGAAGGTATTCAGAACCTACAGTATTCTTTATAAGATTCTTGTGCAGGTAGTTCTCATACATAACTCTGGTCCTCTAGGTTATTTTACATAACTGTGCTCCATGGTTCCTACTTGTGAGGGAACGGTGGAAGCAACAATATTCGTAGCACCTGTGAAACAAAAAAATTCTTGCATCCTTTTTGTCAACCAATGTATTTCAAGATTGTACATTGATATGAATAGCACCCTGCTCTCAAGTACATTTATAAGTCCAATTCTAAGTCTGTGACAACAATTCAAAAACATGGTGGAGGTGATTATTCTTAGAAAGGTCACATTTGGTGGTTAACATGTTGTTTCATTTGGAGCAACTGTAAAATTTACCCAGAGTAGGGCTGGGCGAAAACAATATCACGATATAGATGATTCATATCAGTCAATATTGATAATTATTGATTAGTTTAGAAGCCTCTGCCTATTTCCCCCAGAATGCTGTGCGCTTCTGGCTGGTGTTTTCTTCCTGTTTTTTTCTAACAGGAAAAAGTGCAATTATTCATTATTCTATCAATCCCATGTTCTATTGATGTGGAACATATGTCTAACGCGATATATATTGTTATCGTTTTAACACAGAGCACCTTTAAGCCTTTAAGCTGAAGTTGAAATGAGCAATGCATTGATAAATATTGTAATATAATGTGTCTATTGACAACTTCTTCGTCACAAGCTGCTAATTTGTTCTGTGTATATGCTTTGCAGTACATATTTTGCAGAATTAACTGAAATGTGTATTATTTAGTTTGGAACCATCTCGTATCTATAGATTTGAGCTTATTTTAGTATTTTAAAAGTTGGTCTTGTTTTTAAGTTTTTCTGTATTGTTTCAGCTTCATGAAAGGAGCGTGTTTTCAGTTCTAACTGTTTGGTTTGGTCCTGCGTCAGACTCTACAGACCACATCTCCATCACAGCCAAACTGCAGGCCTCCTCCATTAGCAGCATCATTGTCTTTTAATTACGCTTGTGGCTCGGGCTCTGTCTGCACCTGCCGGCCACTTTCTTCAAGTTTCACAAAAGAAAGTTGCACTGAATGAGGCTGTTCCATGTAATCGAGCAAAAGTGAGTAACCTCAAAGCATGAATGTGATTGATGACATTATGCTTTGTAAATGATTTGAGAAATAATATCATAATAATTCATGTTTATTTTCTTTAGTGAATCATTTCAATACTTTTTATTCACACACAGTGACTTTATTGGTCTGAAACAATCACTCATATTTTAAACAGTTGTCAATTACCAAAGGATGATAAAATTAATAAAAACTTATAAACTTGTCAAACCACCTCATGTGTTTTCTGTTCACAGTAATGACCCGATGCAGTGTTTTACATCATCACACACAAACACAAGTAAACAACTAAAGAGATAACCAACACAGAAACCTTGCACCCTCTACTTAACAAAGTGGCGGCTTCTGTCTCCTTCTGCTCCGAAACGTCTCGCGGCTCCTGTCCCTGCAGCTCGAGCCAGCCACATTCTTCCTGCTCTCCAAAATCATTATTGGCAATTAGCGTTCGTCAGGGAAGACAGCAGCTGCTTGTAATTACAGGTAGCCCCTCATTACGCCAGCGAGCGAGCAGGGGAGGGGGCCGCGCCACTGTTTGTATTTATTTATATAAATGTAGAACCGTTGTGTTGAGCCACATAATGTATAGAGGCTGTAAAGGCTGCAGGCTGAACAGGTGCGATGGAGAGCCAGGAGCGCATTGTAAACACAGGTATTGTCCAAGTCTGGAGACAGAGACGGAGGGGTACGGCACAAAGGCTGCTGCTGAGGTAAAACAGGATACTTGTCTTTGTTTGAGTAAATGACACTGCAAACGGTTGTAAAATATATGAATGTTTATGTCGGTTAGAATTTATATATTTTTTCCATGTATGTGTGGGTGTGTATGTGTTTAAGCATGTGAAAAAGTGTTGAAAAAGAAATCTGAATGAATACAAAATTCAAAACAATCTATACTTCTTAATTCAAATACAGTACATAGTATCTGTTCTGTGGCAGTGAGGTCAGCTGATAGATGGGAAACATGCTGCAGGTCAAAGCAGATCATTGCATTTATCAGAGTTGTATCAGACGTAAGAAAGCGGAAAGCCTTGAGCCGC